CCTGCTGAAGTCAGAACAAGATGTAGATCTTGTAACAGCTCTGTGGTAGGTGCTTTGTCACGGGACAGTTGCTTTTTGTACACTCCAGCAGGCTTGTGGAGACTGCACCGCAGCCTGAAAACTAGCCAGAAGACATGCACTACTTGCTGCATCAGCTTTGACATGAAGTAACTGGTCAGCAGACAATTCAGTGTTGTGTTTTTGGTTTTTTTTAATAGTGGAAGGAATATTTGTTTTGTTTCTCTGGCTACAGAGAAATTAGTGATCTAGGCTTGTCACCATCATTTGGGACAGTTTCATGTTCCTACATCCTAGGGTGGCTGGTATTGTCTCCTCGTGGTCATCTCAGCCAAAGACAAGTGGTGTGAATTGCTTATTGAAGGTGTTTGCCTCCATTCATTTGTAAAAGAAAATAACTTATGTTCAGAATAGAATCTGACAGTTGCTTAATGAGAGGTTAGAGGAGCTGAGCTGAAGCCCATCATCAGACCGTCCTGCTGCCATCCCCAAAGGGACTGTTGGTGTTCCTTGCTTTTCACTGCCGTCTGTCTTCACGTTGTGAATCTCTGTAATGAAAGCCTGGATTTTCATTACGTTTTTTTCAATGAGTGTCTGGGGAGATCTGAAAGAGGAGGTGTATTTTTCAGTCTCCTACACTAACACTGTATAGCCCTGTATCTCGTTAATGTCTTCTCTTTATGCTCTGTGGGTGAGTCAATTTGAGATTCTGCTCGGGTAGTTCAGCAGTAGGTACAATTGTTTAGGGTGTTTGAACCTGGCAACTAGGTGCATTTTTCCAGGCTGGTAAAAACTTGAAGTATGACAACAGCTGCCGTAGTGTGGAATAATAGCAGTTGAAGTGCCATTTGTTTTCAGGGCTGAAAAGCTGCTTGGATAGCCCCTGTGCAAACTCTGACAAGTGGCTACCCTCTCTCTCCCCCAAATCCTAAATGTCTGGTTCACAGCAGCTGTATCACGAAAGAGTGACTTGCGTATCATTCCACACGGTCAAACGTCCAGCAGCCTAGACCCCTGGTAGTCCCTCTGACTTCTCCAGTGGTCCGTGTGCGTGCCATTTCATCAAGTGGTTTAGGTACACTTGTCCTCCCAACAGCGTCGATAAAGTTCCAGGCAGTTTTAACTGTATTTTCTAGCCAGAAAAAGCAGATGATGTTTGTTAAGCTGAAGCAGTGTGTGCCCCTCAAAGCATGAGCCGTTCCTTCCCAGTCTCTGTTTGGCTCTGCTGATGCTTTGAGGAGCCTGATCAGTGAATGTAACTTTGTAAACATAACTTTTGGTTGTGGTTTGTTTTTTTTTTTCTTTCATTAAACTTTTTCTACTTTCTCGTTGCTTTGTAAGTTTTGGGGGATGGGTCTAAGGAAAGAAACACTACAAAATTTTGCACATTGCTTTATTAGCGAAACAGGTAACCAGGGAAAAGCAATTGCCCATAGTGGTGGAGTGGATTTAATATTAACCTATCAGTTACTGCATGTGAGTTCTCTTTATTGAAAGTCACGATTCCACCGTCTTTAAAAGAGCAGAGAAAAAAAACCCCACAAAACACTCTGTTGCTACCATTGTTAGTGTAGCTGGTGTAGCAACAGATTTTTCCATCCCTTGTGTGTTGCTCCAGGCCATTTCCACAGCTTCCGTATAATTTATGTGTCGGGATTATTTTTCTGGCTTACATTCTGTATTTTTGATAATCAGCGTATTGTGGGAAAAGTGAGTACTGGAAACTTGCATACCACTGTCCTTTCCAGCAAATGACTTGTTTGTGTCCGGGGCAAGCTGATCAGCCTGCTTCTTGTCTAATATTAGTGCTTCACTAGTGCTGGGTGAACCGTTTTTAGCTGACTAGATACTTAACAGGTTTCACTACTTGCTGCTCATGAATTCAGCTTTTGGGAGGAGAGTAGTGACACCAGGATTTAACTTTTTAAAGTATATTCTTTAGTATATCAGTTGTTCTATTCTGTAGATTCACTGTAAATGTCTACCTCCTGCTGAGACTGAGGCATAGCATTTATCAGAAATGTCTCCAGACCTTTGGTTAATGGAGAATTCAATGCCTATGTTTGCCTTGACTCTGGAAAATAAAATTACTTTAGTTTTTCAGTTGATTTGGTAAGAGTGTTTCCCATTTTCAATTTCTGTCAAAGACACCAATCTGTTTCTGTGCTTAGGTTGCTGTCAGAGAAGATGAAAAAAGCGGACTGGTCTTGGCTATCAGTAAATGTTTTGGGTGTTCCCTTCCTCCTGAACCATTTGTGAAATTTTCAGAGGGACAGTGCCTTCCTCTCTCATTCTGAAGTCAGGAATATAATTAGTATTCAGTCACCTTAATGAAAAATACAAAATTTTTCTACGTGGAAAAGCAGATACCTGGTTTGAGGACAGCTTTGTGAGCTGCCTTGCAGGAGCCATCTTATCTCTTGGTGGATGTTGGAGAGACTATGCCTTTTATCGCCTCTTGTATGGTTCTTGTGGCAACAGGATGGCCATTCGTGGGTTCTGCCAGAGCAGAGGGCTTTAAGGAGCTTGGTGCATGTGACTGGACTGTATCTTGTACTAACTTCAGGAGCAAGGGTTCATGGCTGTCCGGTTTTGAATTTGTAACTTGTTCAGGGCGTGCCTCAACCCTGATGTTGTTAGTCTATTAAAACGAAGCCTTAAGAAGTAGCTTATCTTTATACAGAAGTCCTCTTCTGAAAAGTAAAGCATCAGTATTGTCCATGAGAAAAACTTTGTGGCTCCTCAGCGGTGTTTTGGAGAAGGGATTTAGCAAATCTCCCTTGGCGTTAATACCGGGAAGTATCTGATGTCCAGTAGCCTTTGACACTTTTTCTCTTCCTGCTCATCTGTTGCTGGAGAATGTTGCCTTGATGAAATCTCTGGATCTGCGGCTGGAGGCATGGTAACCCAAAATGTTAGCAATGCTCACTGCAGGAGACAACTACTGACACTGGCAACTTTCCTCAAAATCCAGGGATGCACGCATGGCTTGCAAATACCACCAAAGCATCAGCAGCTTGGATTTCAGTTTGTGAGCATCCCAAGAATAATGCAGGAACAGGGCTTAACTCTTCAAAGTTAGTTTTGTGTCAGACTAAAACTTATCTTCTTCTGGTCCCGAAGCAAACTCGAGCAAATTACAGGAATATGCTACTGATGTAAGCAGTTTGATTCTCTGATCTCTCCCAATAACTTGCCAGTTTTACCCAAACCCAAAATAAATGGGCTGTGTTAAACCATTTTGAAGTAGCCCATAGGAGATATTGTGCTATATTTCTGGAAGATTAAACGGGGCACTACATCATTATAAACATGATTGAATTTCTCTATAGTTTGTTGATGACATCATGGACTTCCACTAAGTAACTTAAAACCAAAACAAAATCTAAAGTAACTAACAAAAAGGCTGTTTGTTTGAATATCACTGATAATTTTTTTCCATTCAAAAGGGGAGACAACTGCAAATCTGAAGAGCATTTTGCATAGTGGATGTTTTTAGGATAACCTACAGGCACTTCAGGAAATCAAAATATCTTATCTGGCTAGTTAATACCTGAACATCGAAATTTAAAATTAACTCATATAGTTACTGCTCGCAAAGTTTCCCCATGGAAGGCTTGCTTCAATAATCTGTTCAGGCAGCTTTTATTTTGCCTCTTCTACAGTGAAAGCATATTCAAGGATGCCTTTGTTTCGACAGCATTTTGTTTTTCATTCTGATTTCATGCGAATCACACAAAGCTCTTTCATAGATAGCCTTTTGT